GGCTGAGGTTGCCAGGCCGTGGGGGAGGGCACGAGGAGAAGGGGAGCCCCCAGCCCAGTGTCCTCACCAGCCAGCCAGACGGAGGAGGGAGGTGTCCACATCAGACCTCCCTCACACCACAGTGGGGAAGCCGCCCACACAGAAATGGGGGTGACACTCAGCTGGGGCTCGTGATGGGGGTCCAGAGTGCCACATGCAGAGGGGGCGGGACAGAGGGCACCTCCTTCTCAGGTCCCAGGGGAGACAGGTGGCTGAGGGCTCAGAGCAGAGCGGCAGGTGGCCAGGTCCAGGGGCTCTTGCCAAGCTGGGGTCTGCCAGGGCGTCCCTGAGCTCTGACGGGGCTTCCTTGAGCCTGGTTCTCCAAACAGTCCATGAGGGAGCATGCAGGTGGGAAAGAGAATTTAAAAATGGGGCCGAATACCTTCCAGGTCTTTTTCTCCGGGATTTAGCAATTCTACCAGATGGACAAAGACAGACAACCCCCAGGCAGTGCCCTCTCACTTCCCTGCCCACAGGGCACTCCGGTCCTTCCGGAATGTGCCCTCAAGCCCGGATGGGTGACGCACTGTGCGCAGTTCCCTGACCCCCTGGAGCCGTGTGCAGGGTCTGGGCTGACTGATCTTCCACCCGAGGGAGCAGCGAGGGAGGCGTTCGGATGGCGCCAACTCATGGCTGTGTGAGGGTCTCTCTCTGCAGGCCGTTCAGAAAGTCGAGCAAAATGAGGTTCAGTCGGAGCCCAAAGCTCGCAGCTGGCCGTGCTGTCTGCACCGTTAGCCACGCCCAGTCTTTCTGCTCCTTGTGGAAACCTGTGCCCTGCCGGCCGGTCGGGTCCTCGGAGGCGCAGGACCCGCTGGCGTCTCGGGACATCACCGCAGTCTGTAGCCAGCAGACCTCCCACACAGAGGTGCCGGACTGGGGGCAAAGCTGATTCCACTGGAGCTGACAAACCGCATCTCCCCTGGGGAGTTCTGAGGGGGCTGCCACGTGGGAACAGGCAGCCTCCCACCCTCTCCACCGGCAGAGGTCTTCCTGGCCGGCAAGGATTTGACGTTATCCCCTCCTAGGCCCCTCTGAGGCCAGAGTTTGGCTGGTGGGGGCATCAGCTTCCTCAGCGTTGGTGGGGGGCTGTCAGGACCCACGAGCTCCGGAAGCTCAGCTGCCCCAACCAAACCGGCTCAGAGTTTCAGCTTAACTTGGCGTGAGCCGGCTTGGAAGGGCGGAGAGCCTGCCGTGTTGGTTTCCTGGGGCTGCCGTAACTAACTAAGGACCACAAACTATGGCTTAAGACAACAGAAATTCATTCTCTCTGGTCCTGCCAGCTGGGAAGTCCAAAGTCCGGGAGTTGAGGGCTGCGCTCCCTCCAGAGCTTCCAGGGGAGGGTCCTTCCCGCCTTCTCCAGCTGCGGTGGCTCCTGGTGTTCCGTGATTGCGGCCTCATCTCTCCAACCTCTGCCTCTGTTGTCACGTGGTCTCCTCTGCGTCTGCATCCAGCCTTCCCCTTTACTTATAAGGACACCAGTCATCTTGGAATTAGGGCCAACCCAACCCAATACGTCTCCAACTGTAATTCGATTACGCAGGCAAACACACTATTTCCAAATTTTCACAGGTTCCTGGTGGATGTGAATTTTGGGGAGACACTGTTCAACCCAAAGGTTCCCAGAGCTTGGTGTCAGCTGACTTATTTTCCCCAAAGGCGGGTACCCTGAGAGGTTTCCACTTCTGTTCTGCTCCTCTGCGCTATGAGGTTGTAGGGACACAGTGGGGGACAGAGCAGGCAGGATCACCCTCCTGAGAAGGCAGGCCAGCTTCTAAGCCCTATAGTTCCGGCGCAGCTGGGGAGGGGACCAGCCTGAGGGTCAGCCAGAGCCTGCCACGTGGGAGAGGCTGCTGAGGGCGGTGCCCCAGCTGGAGACCTGGGGACGGAGACGGGCCGTGGGGGCGTGAGCCGGAGCCACAGGGCTTGCTGAATGTTTGAAGGGGAGTTGGGGACACTGAGAGAGGGTGGCCACATTGGGGACACCGTCCCAGAGAGCAGCTGTGGCTGGGGTAGGGACTTGGAAATGGGGCTGCTGTCTCTCCCAGGCCAGACTCCTCCCTGGCTGCCCTGGGCTCTCAGGCTCCCGGGTTGGGGGCTGCAGTCTGTGCCCCACCCCTGGCCTTGACCAGCTGACCACGAGGGGGTCCTGGCCGTGCCCCCTCCATCTGGGGTTGCGAGGAGGCTGTGGGTGCCCGAGAACACCATGCCATGCCCCTACTCCCACACCCCGCGTGTGGGCCCCAATGCCTGCTCCGCTGCCCGCCGGATCCCGCGATGTTTCCCAGGCAACTGACTCAATACAGCCTGTCTGCCTGGCACTCCTGCACCCCGCAAATGCCGCTGTGCCTGGCTCCCAGCAGGCTTGCCTGCTTGGCACCCACAGGCCGGCAGGTGTGGCCGAGCACAGTCCTCTGCCCGGCCGCGTCAGCAGACCGCTCTGGCGGCGGAGGCAGCCCAGGCCTCTTGGCCGTCCTCACTGGCTTTCGGGCACTGCCAGGGCACCCTGCGTGCGGGCCGTGCCGGTTTGCCACATGGTGCGGGGTGGAGGCAGCCAAGTGCCGCGAGCATGCGCCCAGGCGTGCCCGTGCGCTGCAGGTTCATTGGGAAGTTGGGAGGCTGTGCTGCCCTCTGGGCTGGTCACAGCCACCGCCTCAGGTCCGTGACTGTCTCAAGTGGAGTTTCAGGGTGGACTGATGGCTTTGCAGGGTGGGGTGATGGCAGAACTAACCGCAGGAAATCAAAAGATGGTGTGGGGAAGCCAGTGGGGCTCAGACAGCCCCAGTCTGGCCGACAGGTTTTGCCCAGCCCGGTGGCTGACCGCCCTGCCTTGGCATCCAGGCTGGCAGGGAGCTCCCGCTGAGACCCTGGGGGTCAGCACTGGACAGAGACAGCCCTGCCCCCAGGGTGGGGGTGGGGGGGGCACGAGGATGCTGTCGCTGAGACACTTGCTTCTTGGCAGGGGGAGGTTGGGGAGGGATGGCCCCCTGACGTGCTGGCAGTGGGCCTCACCTCGGTGCTGGGACCAGCTCTCGGGCATCCTGGCTGGTCACGCACAAACGCAGCGTGGGTGGTGGGGGCGGCCACAGAGCGCAAGGGCCCCGGGCGGCCAGTGTGCCAGTGCGGCCGGGGCTCTGACCCCCCGCCCCCCAGCACTTTCCACTTCACCCGCGGGGAGCCTTCCCCAAAAGGCTGACATGTTCTTTTGTAAACATGATTTCTGGCTTGTAAAAAACTTGTTTCCGCAGTGCAAGCGTCAGTCCCAACCAGAAATTATTTTCCAATAAAGCTAAACTCCCTGTCACCACAGCAGATGGCTCAGAAAAAGTCAGTCTTTTCCTCACCTCAACTTGAAAACTTCCACCTCCACACCTACCCCGGCCTGCTCATAGCTTGGAGACAGCTGGGACCAGCGGGTTTGTCAGAGGGTCTCAGAGTGGCCGGTCCCCATGCAGGCCCTAGGCGAGTGGGAGGGGATTGAGGGCAGGACTTCCCAAAAGTGGAACCTGCCATGTGCCCAGAGCAGGGGTTACCCCAGTCTGTCATCTGTGGCAGCGTCCCAGGCCGTATGGGACGCACAGGTCCTCCCACCCAGAAGGCCCCTGTTCGGGAGCAGCAGCTGCCCACACAGGTGTCCCTCGTAGGTTCCTGCAGGCCACTGTGTGTCTTTCCTCCAGGAGCAGGGAAGAGGCCTGAGGTCCCCAATCTGTGCCCAAGGGACCCAGAGCAGGGCAAGATAAGGGCACCAGGAGAGGAGGAGGGGGCGGGTCCACCAATGGACCCTGGGGTGGGGGAGCCAGGGGGAGGACGGGAGAGGAGGGCATGGGTACGACGCCCCACACGGCCCGAGGGCTGAGCAGATGCTCCCATGGTCACTGGCCTTCCTCCCACCTTGGAAAGCTGGGACCAGTCCTCCTGGAAGTCCCCAAGGTCCCCTTGCAGAAGCTTGGTGACACTTCCAGAAAAGGCCCTAAAGCTCTGAGGCTGAAGCCAGGGTCAGCCGGGGCCGGTCAGCTGGCACCTGCAGTGTGTTCGACACAGGACCTAGGAGCCCCCCACACATGGGCTTCTCTCACCTGAGAGCAGGCCCAGCCCCAAGGCTAGCATTCTGGAGGGTGCGTACACATGACCCGGGGCAGGTGAGGAGGGGCCCAGGGCTGGGAGCCCAGCAGGAGGTGCCCAGCACAGCCTGGAAGCTGCCAGGGTTGGGTGGGGCAGAAACGGCCAAGGACTCCCAGAGTCCTGGAGTGACGCCTGGCAGTGGCCCCTGACGCCCGCCCCTGCAGACCCCGGTCCCAGGGAGAGCAGGAGCACCCCAGGGCCCGGCGTGGCGGGGGAGGCAGGCTGGGCGCAGGTGCTGGGCACAGCCCGGAGCTGCCAGGGTGCCTGGGCATCTGCTGCCACCAAGTGGCAGACTTGAGGCACGCCTGGTGGGAGAGCGGGAGGGGACGGGGTGCAGGGGGCCCTTACCTGCCCCCGCGCCCTGGCCTCTGGCCCAGGCCCCCGGGAGCCACCTGGACTCGGTCGCTGCGGTGTTTCTCTGGGCTGAGGAACCGCGCCCTCGTGTCGTGGGAGGCGCGGCGGCAGGGGCGGACCGCGCTCTAGCTTGACCTCTGGGCCCGCGCCCCTCTGCCCGGAGGTGGCTCCCGCCCGCCCCCACTGCGCGGGAGGAAGGAAGCCCGGCCTCAGTTTCCCCAAAGGCTGGGGTCAGGACACTTTGGGCTGCGGCAGCACCGCTGAGAAGATTTAGTTTCCCTGCCCGAGGTGGGCGGGGCGTCCGGGGCGGGGTCTGTCTTGGAGGGCGGGGCCTGTCTGGGGCGTGGTCTGCCTTAGGGGGCGGGACTTGCCAGGCGGGGCGGGGCTGGGCTGGCCAGGCCGTGGCGGGTCCGTCCGGGCGGGGCGGGATCTGTGTTGGGGGCGGGGCTGGCCGCGCGGGTCCACTTCCGGAAGACGCGCCTGGGCTGATGGCGGCGGCGCGGGAGCCGCGGCTGAGGCTGAGCCGCCGGAGGCCGCCGTCTGGAGACGGGTGAGGCCGAGATGGGGGTTGCGGCCCGGGGGGGCGCAGGGCGCGGCCAGGGTGGGGCCTGGGGCCCCCCGCCGAGCTGAGGCCGAGTCTCGCTCCCACGTGCTTCTCGGACCCCCCGCCCTCTCCCGGGCCGCGCCCGCTTCTCCCCTTGAGCTCCGCCCCGGCCCCCACGCCGAGCCCCCGGTCACCCCTCCCCTCAGCCCCGGGCCCAGCCCCGTCCCCTCCCGAGAGTGTCCCTGAGCTCCCCGCCCCACGCTGAGCCTCCACCCCGTCCGCCGCAGGCCCCAGGGCGGCTGCTCCTGGCTTCTCCGGGGGGACGGCGGCGAGAGCGAGCGGCTCTGGGCCGAGCTGCTGCGCACGGTGAGTCCCGACCTGACGCTGGACGTCGAGCTGCCGCCGCTGCCTGCCCGCCCCGGCCAGGTGCGCCCCCTGCGCTCGCGGGGGGGGGCGGTTTCTCCGGCCAGGGGGCGGCCGTGGCGCCGCTGGGCAAGGCCCGACGACCCCCTGTTTGACAGGAGTCCGGGGGCAGCCCGGAGCGCGCGGCGCCCCCCGAGGTCTTCACAGTCGGACCCAAGACCTTCTCCTGGACGCCCTTTCCGCCGGCCCCGGGGGGCCCCGGCCGCCTTTACGGGCCTCTTCGCGGGGCAGGACGATGTCTGGAGTCCCCTACCAGGTCCCCCCAAGTACACCCGGCGCCCGAGCCCTGTGGGACCCCCAGCGCAGAGGAGCAGCCTGCAGTGGAGGGGGCACCGGCCCTGCAGAGCTGCCCGATGTGCCAGCAGGAGTTCGCCTCTGGGTGAGTGAGCCCCCTCCTGCCCCCGGCTGCCCCACCGCCCAGTGCCGGGTGACCCCAGCCGTGTTTGGAAAACTAAGAGGGTGACTTTTATATGTTTTATTTACCTTTTATTTTTTTTGAGACAGGGTCTTACTCTGTGGCCTGCCAGAGTGCAGTGGTGTCCTCATAGTTCACTGCAATCTCCAGCACCTGGGCTCAAGTGATCCTCCTGCCTCGGCCACCCAAAGCGCTCTAGGATTACAGGCGTGCACATTTCTATGTGTAAAATCACATTTCACACATAGAAAGTTGGCTTAGTACAGTGACTGCGCTTGTGCAGGGGCTGGCTGTCACAGGTTTGGGGGTCTACCCACTCCCCGCCTTCTGGGGCCCTGTGGATGGCGTAGAGCCCGAGACAGTGCAGGAGGGCAGGGAGCGCTAACCACGGTCCACCTGCCCTTCCAGGTGGCTGGTGGTGTCTAGGGACAAGCTAGGCTGTGGGTCACTGCAGCTTCCTATTTAAATAGCCACACGAATACCTTTCCGGCGGTGGTTTATAGGTTTTAAAAGGAAGACTTTGTTTTTCTTGTCTGGGGATGCTTTTTGTCAGTTTTAAAATCCAATACGTCTTTTCATAGGTATTTTTTAAGTAAGGGAGAATAGAACCTGGTTTCGCTGAGACGTTAAACCCAAACTGGCAGCATGTGGGCCTGGGGCCTTGCTGGGACAGCTGGTCACTGTGGGCGTGGCCCTTCCGCGTGGGCTTCCACTGGGAGTCGCGGCCGAGGACAGGGTTTTGGGGTCAGGAGAGCTCGAGCGAACTTGGCAGTTCTTGACGAGGTGGTTGAGCTGATGGGCCGTAGGGTGCAGATTCCGTGTGGCCAGAAGACCGGATGCTTAAGCTCTGCCCTGTGTCCCTGTCTTACAGGAGCAAAAACAGCCAGGGAAGGGGTGTGGATTCCAGGGTTAGAGCTGAGTATAACAAAAAACAAATCAAAACAAAAGCACGAAAAGATCAAATCAGTTGTCAAAATGTACGGCACAAAACCCACACAGGAAGATCTTTACATGGTATGGTGCTTGCCCAGAGATGAGCTCCCCAGACTAACGTCAAATCGGTGCCTCCAAAATGTGACATTTTATGGGGACCAAGCCCTTAAGGGCTGAGTGTTGCAGGTGAACTCAGTAACCTGGATGGGCACCCTGCCCATCTGCATTCACACCTGGACGGCTCAGGGAAGTGTGTGTGGGGGTGTCCCCAGGTGGGGTCCCATGTGGGTGAAGCCACAGCCCCATAAGTGGGGCTTGGTGGGAGGCTTGGCGCCGCGTCCAGGGCCTGGGCAAAGTGCCCTGAGCATCCTGGCAGCCCCAGCGCCTGCCGCAGCACCTGAGAATTTGCAGAATGTTTCTAGATGAAGCGTCTCAGGCACACACCTCAGGATGTTTGTTTTGTGATCTTTGAAAACTGCAAATGCTGGCTCACTTGCTGATCACAAGGAGTGTTTTTTAAACCTGTGAAGCCTTCTTGATTCTTACTCAGCAGAAGAAACACCAGGACAGAAGATATGGCTGGAAGCCCTGGGGAGAAATTCACTCTTGGCAGAAGTCCCCGAGGTTCCTGACGCTGTCAGGGTGCCAGGCCAGGCCTCTCCTCCCACGGAGGGTCTTTTGTCTCTGGGTCATTTGCATTTCTAGATAGTCTAAAAATAAGACTCTGAAGACAGGGACATTCAAGAAGAAAGTTCCCTTTTTGAGCTCTCTAAGCAGTTGCGTGAAGGCTTGGCAGACTGCCTCCGTTTTTCCAAAGTAGGTGTCAGTGAAGCTGGGCCCAGGTCTTAGCGTGCCTGGAATCTTCTAGCACATTCTTCCATTTGATTGTAAAGGAGAGCCAGTACTTCAGCCGGAACTCACACCCCCGAGGCTGTGGCTGGGTGGGGAAATGACTCGTCCCATGTCCTCAGGGTGCCTTGGACCCAGACGTGGGTGTTGGTCAAGACTAGGATGCGGGGCAAGGAGGCCGTGGGATGTCTGGCATGGCAGCTGGACACAGCCTAGCACTGCCGTCTTGTCTCACAGGGGACCCTGCTCACCCCAGACCCCTTTAGAGGGTGAGCTTGGAGACTTGGTGTAGGAGGACGACCTCACCTGGGAAAGCTTCAGTGTTTCCCAGGTCACCCAGAGGACACTTTATTCATAAGTGTGACAGGACAGCTAAATACTGGATTTGACAAGCCATGCGTTTGTCATGTGTTCTTCTTCCCTTTGAGGTCCACTTGCTAGGCCAGGCGCGGTGGCTCACGCCTGTAATCCTAGCACTCTGGGAGGCCGAGGTGGGAGGATCGCTTGAGCTCAGGAGTTCGAGACCAGCCTGAGCAAGAGCAAGACCCGTCTCTACTAAAAATAGAAAAATTAGCTGGGCATGGTGGCGCATGCCTGTAGTCCCAGCTACTCGGGAGGCTGAGGCAGGAGGATCGCTTGAGCCCAGGAGTTAGAGGTTGCTGTGAGCTAGGCTGACGCCATGGCACTCACCTGGGCAATAGAGTGAGACTGTGTCTCCAAAAAAAAAAAAAAAAGGTCCATTTGCTACCGTCTTTGCACATTCCGTGCATTTTCTGATGGCTGTGAGTCACACAGGCAGTTGAGGAAGACAGGCCCGTCGATGAAGGTCCCGAAAACCAGCACCTGGTTCTGTCCCTGTTGGTTCAGCGAGGCCCTGGCTTGGTCCTTGGGATTTTAACAGCTTCAAGGCCCTCGCACTGCCGGGTGCTGCCACACTGTGACCCTGTTCGCACTCAGAAGGCAGTGGCGGGTCCCGGGCTGAGCCACCACGTTCTGCACAGGGCTGGCCTGTCCACATGGTGGGGCTTGGATGTGTCCAGGAGGCAGAAGCCCAGCTAGGAAGCAGGTCAGGTGGAAACAAAGCTCTTTTATTGTGGATCGAGGCCCGAGGCATCTCAGAGCGCCCCCCACTGAGGGACACTGCCTGGAAGCCCCTGCACAGGTTGACCTAGGTCCAGATCTTAGAACCTTCTGGCAGCCTGGAGAGAGTATGCGGGGGGAGGGGCCGGTTCCAAGGATGGACTGAAGCTTGAAAGTCTCAGACAGGCTGAGTGGTCCTTGGGGACTTCACACTGCACTGAGCAGGGTCTGCCAAGGCCAAGAGGGCAGCTGAAGGCCGCAGGGCTGCACCAGGCGTCGGGGGCAGAGTCCTGCACCCCCAGTGCAGGTGGGGACCCTCTGGCCATGGCCTGGAGAAGGCTCGAGGCCGTGCGGGTGGGGTGCCCGAGCCACAGGGATGCAGGGCAGAGCCCAAGGGAGAGAGGCAGGCTGGCGGGCGGGTGCAGGGAGGTTGCTGCCGACCGCCTGGTGGACCTAGCTGCTGGGGGGTACCCAGCAGTGTGCAGGGGACTGTCACTCTGACGGGGCACTGACCATTTGGCCTCCAGCAAGGTCTGAGCCCACCATCTTGGCCGCAGTCGCCCACAGCCCCAGGCCTGGTCCCAGCATCCGCCGAGTGCCCTGGCTCCGCCACCCTCTGGGGGGTCACAGCCAGGAGCCGACCACCTGCCAGCCTCAAGTGCACCTTGCCTTGCCCTGGCCTGGGGACGGTCATTCCTGACCTTCTCTCCTTGGGCTGCTGACAGGGCTGGAGGAGGCCAGGGCTGGGCAGTGCCTGTCCTGACAGGCGGGGGGCGAACCAGCAGGTCTCAGGTGGGTTTCCTCCTGCTGCCCCTGCCTGGCCAGCCACTGCCATGCCCACCGGAGAGGTGCAGGGCGATGTGCGGCATCACAGGGCAGTGGCCTCGCACTCAGTCAGCTGAGTCCCAGTCCGTAGCGGGGCTCGGTCCTGAGCTGCAGGACCACCTTCCACCCAGGTCTGCCACCCGGGCCTCAGCCTCTCAAGTGGGCGCAGCCCCCCTGCCGGCCCCTTCCCTCTTTTCCTCTCTAGCGGCAGCACCCGGGGTGGGGGGCCTGGAGGTGCCCTTCCTGCCGCTGGCACTCCTCAGGGTGGCCAAGCGACTGTCTCCTCTCCCTGCAGGCTGACCCAGCTGGACATCGACAGCCACCTCGCTCAGTGCCTGGCAGAAAGCACCGAAGACATGGCGTGGTGAGCAGCAGGGCTGCCAGAGCCGCCCGGACACGGGGCCGGCCTCACTCCCCGCAGCCCCTGCTCTCGGGCGTGCACATCAGAACGGGTCGTCCGTGCCTCTTCGTGCTGATGCTGCAGCATTGGCTTCCTCTGCTTTTCTGATGCTGGTGTCAGGGCTGATTTGTCCCAGTAAGGTCAGAAAATCAACAGGCAAGTAAGTTGAAACCCGTTCATGCCGCAGACGCAGTCGGACAGGCAGACTGGCTTGGGCAGCGCATTTTCCTAACGGGGAGGACAGACGTGCGCAGCTCACGTCTCACCGCTGTTTTACTTCACTTCCGGAAGTGAACTCTCGTCCGTCGTGCAGCTGCACGTGCTTGGCAGGAGGTGAAGACGCGGTCGCTGTGCCCTGGGTGTGAGTGCCGAAGTCCTCACCCCAAGGCGATGGTGTTGGGGCCTTGGGACACATCGGGTCACGGGGGTGGAACCTCGTGGCGGGGTCCGAGGGCTCTCTCCCCTGTCCATTCAGAGCATACCGCAAGTAGGCGCCGTCCCCGGCCCAGAAGTGGCCCCACCAGAACCGAGAGAGGTGAGCCCTGTCCACGGTGGCGTGTTAGCACTGAGCTAACTCAGATGCCTCCTGGGGCTCTGGGACCTCAGCGCTGACTGGCCGGGACTTGGACGCAGCCTCTCCTCAGACAGGGCGTCCTGGGGGCCCCGGCAGTGGGCGCCTCTTCTGGCGAGGCTGGCGGTAGGGCGCAGAACGGGCAAGTGCGCGTCTTTGGGCGGTTTCCCGCCAGGGCTGTTCGCCACGGGTCCTGCAGAGCCAGGCTTGGGGCCGGCTCGGCACCCGTCCCTGGGTGCCTGTCACGGGCATCTGCCAGGGCAGCAGCCGGGGGAGGCAGGCACCATGTGAGAGCCCAGGGTTAACGCCCAAATCCCTGTTCTCCTGTCCGATGCGGCTTCCTGCAGCCGTGAAGACAGGAGGAGCCTACGGGCGCGTTGCTCAGCGAAGGCAACTGGCCTGGGAAGACCACGCTGCGCGATTCCAGCTCCGCGTCGTTCCGGAAAAGGCAAAGTGCGGAGACAGCACAGAGGTCCGCAGCTGCAGCGTGTGTGGGAGGATGGCCGCGTGGGGACAGTGAAGCTCCAGGGTGGGCCGCGGTGGTCGATCCGCATCCAAACCCACAGTCCTGTCACCAGGTGAAGCCTGTGTGAACCGTGGTCTCGGTGACCGTGACGTGTCCGTGTAGGGTCACCACTGTGACAGACACACCCTCGGGCACGTGGGAACGCGCTGTACCTTCCACCCAATTTTGCCGTGAGCCTAAAACCGCTGTAAACAAATTAAAGTCTATTTAAGAAAATGGCTTCAAAAACCTTTACTTAGCAACATCTCCTTTTAACAAAAATAACAACAATGTAAGCATTTTCATTGAAGTCTTTAATGTGCAAGAATACGAGCGCCCTCGGCCGTTGGGGCGGGAGTGCACGGGGAGGGCCGCCGGCGGCGGGCTCCGCTGACGCACTGTACAAACCGCGCCCGTGGGCGCCGCTTCACCATCGTTAGGTCCCCAGAGTTCCCACGCCCCATCGCGACACGTCGTGGCCAGGGCTGTCTGCCAACGTCAGAGGTTTTGGCTTTCAGCCCACACTGCGTCCATCCTCTGCTTTAATTTATGAAACGAACCTCTGTATATAAACATCGCCCCTCTGGTGGGCACAGTTATCAGCCACGCATTTTGCGCGTGAGCCGCCAGGCTGGTGCCCTGCGAGCTGTCGGCAACGCGGCAGTATTTAAGGAAAACGTCTCATGGTAACGCGTCAAGGGCCCCGGAACAGACCCATCGGGCGCAGGGGGCTGGTGGAAAGCAGTTTGCTTGTTGACGCCTTCTTGGCAGGGTCCCAGCAGCTCCGCTCCCCACAGCCCTCAGACCAGGGCCTGGCTACCTGCGCGTCCCCACACCGGGCACCCCGGCCAGACCCGGCAGTCGGCTCAGGGGCCCTGCTCTGCGGCTCCGAACTTCAGTCTTTGGAGCAGGTCTCGCTGGTTGGAGTGGGTGTCCTGGCGGAAACACGTCTCCGTGCGTGAGCGCTGCTGCGCCGCCCAGAAGTCCAGGCTGGGGTGGGGGGGCCCAGAAACCTGCACGGCCTGGTGGGACCTGGGCAGCGGGAGGGGGAGGTCAGAGGAGCGCCCAGCGCTTGGCGTTCTTGTCCTAGCACCTTGGGGCCTGGGTGTGAACCTGCCACGTCCTGCTCAGCGCCAGGCGCGGCATGGGACCTGAGAAACCCGAGTGCCGGGAGGCGGGGGCAGGACCACAGCGTCGGCCTCGCAGCTTCGATTTTTGTGCCATCACCTCCTCCCCCACGCCACCAGCCGCCGCGTGCAGTGAAGCTGCCCTCACGTGACACTCGGCCCACACCGCAGTCAAGGGAGCTTGAGGTCTCTGCAGCCAGCTGGGGGTCGCGTGGCATTTCCATGTGCACACACCAGGCCTGGAGCAGAGGCGGGAGGGGCCCTGTCACGAGGCGGCGTGGCCCTCTGTCCCGGGGAGCTCAGAAGAGGGCTCCTGCCACACCTGACAGCTAAGGGCTTAAAGAACCCCAGTAATCAACCTCTTTCCAGAAACCTTCAGTTCAGCTTTGTCAAGCTGTCCCTCCCCCTAAGGGGAGGAGGGCACCAGGGTCGAATCCCGGAGGGGGAGGTGTGCTTTCTCAGGGAGACGCAGCACGTCCGTGGGGTTCTAGATTTACTTCCTACTTTAAGGCTGGGGTCCGCCATACGTGTATCTTTTTACATTTCCTAATTCTGAGTATTGTATTACTGATAAAAATACTCTCCAAAAATCTAATACATAACACAAGACATCATGGAGGCACTGCTTAGTGTTTTCAGAAATATATTTTGTGCAGATTTAGTTTTCAATTTTTCTTTTTCTCTTTTTTTGGTCTACTGGTGCTTTGGTGAGCAACGCTTTAGAATCGTGATCCACTTTCCCCCGTGAGTCCAACCAGCTGGTCGGGACCAGCACTGCCCCCCTGGAGACGGTGTCCCCGCACCCTCCAGCTACAGCCGCGAGTCACACGCTCGGCAGGAAAATATTCAAACACTGACGGCAGGAACTTACCAGGATTTAGAAAATGTTCCGAATTTGTAAAAACTCTCCATTGCAGTGTATCCTGTAGGCACTTATACTCCCGTCCCAACCCCACACTCTGCTCACAAAACACAGCTCCTCCTGACGCGTGGGCTGCGTCTGGGACTTGGGCAGGTGCCACTCACGGAAAAAAGGCATGAGAGGGAAGCTTCGACATCACCGGTACATTTTATTCCTCGGGACATTACACGCTAACTTTCCTGGCGGAGCAGGTCAGTGCATCGAGTTCTGTTTCTGCGGAAAATGTGCACCTTCGAAAGTGTGTGACAGTCCCCCCTCGGACAGGGTCACCGCGGGTCCTCCACGACGCAGGCACAAGAAGCAAATTCCTCCAGCCCTCAGCCGGCCTGTCTGGGCCCGGACGCGAGAGACTGTTCTGCTCCGAGAGGTGCCCGCCGGATGCTTCGCTCCCTGGCCGCCCTCGGAGCCTGTGCCCAGCCTGGCATGCATATGCTTGGTTAAGGGTAAAGTTACAGGGTCAGTCACGTGTGTCCACGACAGGGACGCGCGGCCTCACACGGACTCCTCGGTGGACAGCAGCAGTGGGTTGATGTACTCAAAGCCTTCGAACTCAGACTGGTCGATTCTTTTGATGACGTCCCTGTAAGCAAAGCAAGGAGAAGGAAGAGCGCAGCCTGGGGTTCGCGTCCCCCGTGAGCGTCGCTGCCTGCGCGTAGGACGGAGTCCTCCCACCAGAGCCACGAGCGGCCGGGCCACCTGCCCAGCCGCAGGACTTACTCGTCGTCTGGGGTCAGCTGCACGGGCTCGCTGGTGAACTGCGTGTCAAAGTTGTCCAGACCGTAGTCGTCCGCGATCTGCGGCTGAAACGGAGGCAGGGCCTGCTTCTTCTCCAGCTTGGAAAACAACGCGAGAGGGACCAGGTGAGCGCCGGGCATCAACTCTACCAGATTCAGTTTTTTGCACGTACTTAAATCACAGAACGAATGGGAAGAAACAGTGTTTCAATCTGCCTTGGATTTGAATGCCAGTTCCTTTTTCTTAAAACAAAAATCTAGAAGATGGCCAAAGTCAGAAAAATTCCACTTGAGCTAAAAAATGCCTAAAGTGCAGGCTGTGCCGACACGCATCCGGGAGGGGCGGGAGCCCCAGCCACCCCCTCGGAAGCCTCCACGACATCCAGGGTCTGCACGCGGAGTGGCCACTGCCACTCAACCAGCCCAACGGGGGCTTTTTATATCTCGGGTCCCTGATCAAAAAGGCGCTGGGACTGGGCCACCACCCCCTGCCCACGCTGGTGCCGGATGAGACCCCGTCCTGTCGGGACCCGCTTCCCGTCCAAGCTGTGATCAGCCTGTTTCTGACCAGATACCGACTTTCCAAACCTCTAGATGCTGCTCTGCAGGAGACGCAGCAGGAACGGGCTTCTCAGGTCCCGACAGCCGCTGCCTGGCACAGGTGTGGCACCCACCACTCACATTCGGGGACACGGCCACTGGTACCCTCTCGTCTGCTGACCGGGTCTGAATGCGCCCCCCAAACTGATGGGCTGGAAACCGACTCCCAGGGCAACAGCATTGGGAGTGGGGCCCCTCCACCTCTGGCCTGTGAGGACACCGTCCCCCGGGCCCAGTGGTCAGGGCGCCACCTTGGGAGCAGAGACGCCAGTTCTGCTGGCACCTTGACCTCGGACTCCCGGCCCACGGCAAGGAGAAAGAAACTTCTGCTCCCTACGAAGTGCCCAATCTCAGGCGTCCTGCCAGCAGCACTAAGGGACGAGGACACACATCCTCCCGCTCACTCGCTCCTCTTGCTGCCTCTCGCTCGCACGTCCCGAGGTGTGTGCTGCGACCCCGTGCTGGGCTCCTTCCTAAGAACTGGGTCCAGTCTGTGAGCGGGAGACTCCGCCCCGCCTCGTGGAGCCAGCACGCGACAGGCCGGAGGGCAGGAGGACATCGCGTGCGGTCAGCTCCCTTCCACGCCAGCCACACGTGAGGCCGGGGAGCAAGGAAACGCAAGCTCGGAGCCGGCGCCCTCGCCGGTGGGGCAGCCTAGTTCCCGCGACATCACCAGGTCACCCAGGGGCCACCGCCTTCCCTCTGGGGGAGCCGGGAGAGCCCAGGCTCGGAAACCCCCCACCGCGTGGCCATCCCTGTCCGAGATGCTGGACCAGCCTACGGCCCGCCTGGCGGGGGAGCAGGGCCACGTCACGAACAAGGCCGTGATCTGCCTCTGCCCACCAGCCTCCTCCCTCCATCGTGGGGCCCAGAGTGGTCACGGACATTGATCGTAACAAAAGCCACAGTGGGAGTGGCATACTTAAAAAAATCCCTGCACCTTTTTGAAGACCTCTAAAAGAACAAATTCTACTAATGACATTGGTGGAAGAAGTTAGGATGTCCCGGAAATGGACAAATTCTTCCCAAATAAGGAAATAGGCCGGGAAAAGGTTGGGGACATGGCGTCTCAGGGCCCCACAACCAGCAGGTCCCACAGCCAGGCCTCCAGGCAGAGGGGACACATTTGTCGCCGAGATGATGCCCGGGAGGCGCAGAGGAGGGAAGGGGCTGTGCCGGCAGTCGGGGCGGAGTCCCGCGTGCGCCAGAGCACCCTGGGGGCAGGGGCGGGGCTGGGGCTGGGTGAGGGTGGGCCATGCCCCAGCAGGGCTGTGGGGACAGATGTTCCCTTCGTTCACCAATCATCTGTATTCTCCTTCGGCGTGAAGTATCTTCTGATAAAAAGTGAAAAACAAGACTGGGCGGTGGCTCACGCCTGTGCTCCCAGCACTCTGGGAGGGTCGCTTGAGCCCAGGAGTTCGAGACCCGCCTGGGCAACACAGAGAGATCCCATCTCTACAAAAAGTTTTTTAAAACAATTAGCCCGGCGTGGTGGCGCCTGTGGTCCCAGCTACTCAGGTGTAAACAGAGCTTGTGACGCTTTACCAGGTCCCAGTCTATGCTGCGGAAGAACGCGTGGGACTTGATGTCGGAAAATCCGGTCTGTGGCCGGCAGCCAAGCCTCTCTTTGGGGTCCTGGGGGTTAGAGGTCAAATAAGGACAAGTCAGCCCTGAGCAAAGCAGCCCCCGACCCTGGCATGCTCAGCGGGAGACCCCCAGCTGCTCTGACCCCCGAGGGCTCTGACGCTCCGTGCTTCCCCACTGTTAGCTGCTTCATTCGCAACTTCTCATCATTTTATTTGGTTAAGTACGAATAAA